AAGCAGAATTTTTCAAACTTAAAATGGTAGATCCAATATAACAACTAAAATGAATTTCATTTCACTAAAATAAAACTCTGGACATCTGTTACAAAAAAAAAATTAAATGGTGAGAATATACAAAATTTTGATTTAAAATTTAAAAGAACAAAAGACCGAAACAACAAATAAATATGATTTATAATGATAAGCTATACAATATGTAGATAACATTCCGTCTTAAACATTTATATTGATTTATTTAAAAATTTATCACTCCGAATTAGAATGAATTTACAAAATTCATCGTTAAAAAAAGCGATCTCAAAAGCCTCGAAACGTTTTCTCAATTTTAAGTCGTTTATATTTACCTTCGTGAATTTTGAATTTTGAAATTCGTCATTGGATTGAGCGAATCGAAGAGAAGAATCTTTGAACACTCAATTTTAGAAATATTGAACTACCAGAAATACGTATATCACACTCATACAAAAGATATTGCGTTTCCGCCGGTTGGGCCACTTTTTGCGAACGCAGTATTGCGTTTCCGCCAGTCAAGAGGTTAAAGTACGCGAGCGAACCCCTTCGAGAAACGGATCCTGAGTTACTCTTAAGTATTCCGCATATCTTGTACAATTAATCCTCGACGTCGCGATGCGACGTTACGAAAGCAGATAAGTCGCCGACGACGTCTGAGACTCGACGAGGCAAACGCCGCGTCGCTTCTTTCCCAAGGTTTAAGGCACGAGTCAACGTGGGTTGTTACCGCTGACTCGGTGGCTGCAATTAATTTCTAAATCCGCGAACGTGGCGAGAAAGTCGAAAATTCATGCCGGGGTCGGCGAGCGAAGAGAAGAGCTCCGAGCTCAGAAATATGATTATCCGCGCGGTGCAAAAGTGTTCGAGCCTTTAATTACGCTCTCTTCATTAATGAAGAGCCTCCCTTTCGTACCGAAGCAAAGGAACGCGCGCCGTTTCATCTCTTTTCGCCATCTGTGGGACGGACGTTCTCAAACGCTCCTTTTCCCTGTTTCAGCCTAGAGAAATGGCGATTTAAATAACTCCGATCGCGGCGTTCTATATACGGACTACAAAGGAGCGGACGAAAAATATATCCTAGTACATCTAACGAGGAAATTAGCTCTCCTCGATACGAATCCTCGAGCGCTCTATTACGTAGCTACACACGTATACGCGTGTAGCTACGTATAGAGCGCTCGACGTTTGTAAACAAGGCTAAATTTCGTAAAACGTGAGTAAACCTCACACTTATACGTCGGAAAATATCGCGGACCGCGAAACAAGTTTGGGACGAAGCTCGCGTATTTTCCTTTTCGTTTTTACGTTAATAAATTAATTAATTATCGCAGGAAGCGCGCGAGTCGGATTTTTAACGAACCGGTCGGAGGAACGGCGCTAATGATTTTTCTCCTGGAGGGAAGTGTTGCGATAATTTGCGCGGGAGATGCATGCGGTAGCGCGAAATATCCGAGCGATATTTTATATTTAGCAATTTACGCCAAACGCAGAAGACCGAGCGTAAATACACACTGTGATGGTAATAATAATTGGCGAAAGGCCAACCTGCCAGTGGGCACGATAATATTATCAAAAATATTACGCGGCGCGAAATATGATATTGCAATTGTAATAGCTAATAGACACACGCGCTGAGATTTCCGCCGCTCTCCGCGAAATTAGCCGGGCCAAAAATTAGAAAATCCGTCGCGCACCGCGCGGTGATGTATGTATGTATATAGTATACAAGCGGCCGCGCAATTCGTTTGCTAGCGTGATTAATCTCTTTGCCCCTGCGGCTAACCGAGTTATTATTTACAGGCCACTTTCCGGAATTACAATTTTTTCACGGCGCATATGTCATGACTAATGCGTCTCCTTGCTCGCGAGGAGATACGCGGCGCTTTAACCTCGCGAAATTAAAACCGATTCCGGACTTCACGGGATTATCGCGCGGGGAATGACCGCGCTTTCGAATGGATGGCCGCCCGATCGTTAATGTATCTTTAATGCTATTCCACGTTTTATCGCGAATGCGATTTAGAAGAGTCCGAAGTCGCGCGTATTCGCTCGTCGCAGTATTGCGAGTGCAGTTGACGCGACATTAAAAATTGATTGTTATTCAACGGGGGATTGAACAAACAACGTTCCACGGAAGAAAGGAGATATCTCGTTAGGTAAACGGACGTTATTTGTTTCGCGCGCGGATGATCGAACGCGGTATATATTGCACTTGAGAAACCCGAAAGATTATACAATCACTTTTCTGTTGAATAATAATTTCTCATAACTTGAGACGCTCGAATCGATCGAAGGTAGATGATCGATCGGGTCACGCTGAACTATCGTTCAGCGTGCCAGCGCTGACGCGGTTGTGTTTATCGGCGCATGTTTTTTTTTCTTTCTTTTCTTTTCTTTCTTTCTTTCACAGGGAGGTGTTTCATATTTTACTTTGAGTAACTCTAACGTATTAGCAGAAAAGGGGGAGGGGGGAGGGGAGAATTTTCAGCGAGCAAGTCGCGACGGCAAAATGATTTAGCGGAGCGACAACTCCTGCGCGAAGATCGCAGTTGCCAAAGTTCGGCCGATTGCTACCTAAAAGGGGTGTTTGACCAAAGTACGACTTTTTCCGAGAAAGTTCGCGATTGACGTGACGTTGAAAGCTCTGCTCGACGATCCGGCAGACGAGTTTCCCAAGGAGAGAGAATCCGTCGTTCCCGACGGCCGATCTGAAACTTGGAAACTGCCGGAAATTCTCAAAACGTACTGAGCTTGAAAATAGGTGGAAGACTCCTTATATATTATGTGTATTTTACGGTACTGATGAAACAGTGACGATTCGAGCGTTGCGAATGTTAGCTGGTAGAACGGTGAACCCGGCTGAAGAAACATCGACAACTTTGGAATTCATTGACAATTAATCATGCATGCGCACGCGTGTACGTGTACGTTCGTAGTTCGACATGTATAAGCACGTATCGGACGTATATTTATAGCACGTATATTTATAGAAAAAAGAGCTCCGCTTTGATGTATCTCAAACTCTTTTAATGTTTTCATGTGTGTTTTATTATGCGACTACCAGCTTCGTATATAACTCATCTATTTACGACTTCGCAGAACATATTTCGCTTGAAGTCTGCTGTCGTTAAAAAGTTAAAGTTAAGTTTCTCACGTGTGACCTATAAGTCTGCGAAATCGACAGGTCGAGATTATTTTTGGGTAAAACGCTACGACTGGAGTCTAAAAACGTCAATCTTTAAAAATATGATCTATTAAATAGATATTTTGAACGATGAATTCGATGTGCAGCAGAAATCTCAATATTCAAAATTTATTATCATGACAGTTTTATTAGAATAGAATAGAATTTTATTATTAGTCCAAAAATATTGAACTTTTTAACATAGGCAATCATAGAAGAGAACTAGATGGATGCTTTAACTTTCACAGAGAAAGTTTCATCCAGCTATTTATTTATTTTCTTCTTTTTTTATCTTTGACACACGTCTTATCTTTTCAGGGACGAATTAGTGGACGACTACTAACGTGAAAGGACGTAATTTAATTTTAAAGTCATATAGAAACATGACATCTGTCGATTCTGCGACAAGATTTCTCTTCCGGCTAAAAAATTTCACACCAACGTCCATTCTATTTTTACGAACGATATTTCAATTTGAAAACGATTCAACGTATTTAAATATGTGCGTACGTGTCAGTGTCCGTTCCTGAAGACGTCGACTTATAACGACCAAGAGAAATTAAACGTCTAGATCATTAAGAGGGATTTTAAGTTTACTAATTGCAGGAGTAGACTGTTTCAAAAATTAATTTAGCTTTCGTTAAGAATTTTTCGCGTGTTACTAGAAATTATTAAGACTTAAATGACTCGAGTTTCGTAGCGGTGGTGATGTATACAGCGCGCATTACTCGAAAGTCAGACGTCGCGTAAAATTCTTGAGCGGAATATAAACTGATACGCATCAATTCGAACTAACTTCAAAACTTTCTATATACTTCCTACTCCTCCCGAAATGCCTTTCAATTAACAATAACAAATCTCTTGGTAATTGGACCTTGGTAATTAACGAAGGATCCACTGCGAATTAATTATGGAATACGCGCGCTTCCGCTGCCCATTCTCGCTCCTCAGACGGCGTTTCAACACCCTTCGATTCTCGTTGTTAAATAACTCGGTAATTAATTCCGCGATTAAATTCTCGCTATGATTTTCCAGGATATTATGACGATATTTTATCTGTAGTAGAAAAAGCAACCGTGCGAGAGCAAAGCGCTTGAGTTGATGCAAATAGAAAGTAACGAGATCTAAAGAGACTGCATTAAAATGTTTTTTTAATTAGCAGAAATAATGGACCTCCTCTGAGAGGAAGAGAGCGAGAGCGAGAGAGAGAGAGAGAGAGAGAGAGAGCAAGAGAATAACTTTGATCTTCAAAATTTCGTCGAGGTTTCCATAAGTTATAAGCGAGAAACCGTGAAACGATTTTGTTGCTCGCAAACTTGAGCATTATTATCGGCAGTCTGATGGGTTTCTGCTTTAATTTCATTAAAAGCCTCCGTTGTTCTTCGTTGCCGCCGCCGTGAGGCGAAGTAACAACAACAAAATAAAAACAACAAGGGAAAACAATCAAACGTACGTTTGATCCAATTTCATTATTTGTGCAGATCTCAATTTATTTACATTTCAATCCGCTCCGGTTCAGATAAAATCTCGAAGAAAGTGACTCCGCTCGAGATTTCACGAGCGACACGAGGTGTTAAAATATAAATAAGGAGAAACTTTCTCTCGCGTTCGTCGCAGTTGGCTATCTTCTGGCGGGCAACAATTTCGCCTGCAATTCGTATCCCGCTTCTCGTTTTTCTCAGCGCGCGTTCGCCTCGCGCGAGTTTTCTCCTCGCTTCTGCGAACGCGACCGCGCGCCGTCTGTCGCGCGCTTATTTTTCGATGTTAAATTAAACATTCGCTGAATTTCATATTCCAGTATGGCGGCGAGCCAGGCAGGAGGTTAGCGCCCCAGGAGAAGCCGCTGGAGATTCAAGATCAATTTCTTCAAAGGCTCGGCTACCAGGAAGTGTCCCGGCGCGCGCGTCTAGGAGTCGATCCCGAACTCAGACATCTCGTCAGCTTTCACGTAGGTTAGTATGAATTGAATGAGAAGCAGTACAGCCTACTTCACGAGTCATCGCTGAGATCTCGCGTTAATACTTGATCCTCTCGTTTTTGCCTGTCGAGCAATCTCGATAACGATGCGCGTAACGTCGGCGAGATGCTCGAACGAGCTGCGCAAACTAAAACGTATTCTCCGATCGCTTCTCGCGGAAGCGGATTTCCCTTGAAAAATATCGAGAAAATAGTTTAGAAATGGAAACCACTTTGCGAGAATAAAGCCTCGATGTTGAAAATAGGTAACAAGATCCTTCTCCGCGTTTAGTTTTGAATGGACTTTAATAGAATTTTAATTCCAGTCTTAGTACCCGAGACGTCGAAGATAGAAAATTAAGGAGTTGCCAAGAGGAAGGTGGATGTCTAATTAATTTTTCGCCGAGGGGAGAGATCGACTCTGAAATTGATTAAAGAATACACCCGCGAAGTTGGTCCAAGTATTTTAATAACATCCCGCGTATAACACACCGTCATGCACGGGAGGTTACTCCCGCTTCGCGATTATGCGATATTTGATAAAATAACTTTGAGAATCACACGAGTGATTCGCGCGGACGCAAACAATAACCGACGCGCGAGCTTCGCATGAAAATTTACAGGCGACTGTTTGAAATGTCAAATGATCCCGCCGAGGCAGACGGACACGGACAAAGGGTCTAGAGGGAGTGAGAGAAAGAGAGAAACGGTAGAGAGGGAGGGAGAAAGAAAGAAGCTGTTCGCCGTGAAATTACTTACGGCGCGCGCGGGAAATATATTTCATTAGATATGTTTCGCTGAAACACGCACTTTTCGCGCGCGAGCATACGCGTGTACTTTTATTACTACGTAAATTCTAACCACGGTAATTACAAAGCGCGTTGGATTTCGTTACAACGCCGACTACACTCTCAGGACGGTCGACATGCGCCACCTTCTGCGGGCTAATTGCATTAGTTGAGTACTTCGTCTCATCTCACCCACCTCCTCTCGTCACCTCGCGTTCGCGAGGTAACTTTCGCGAATCGTCCGCGTTCAATCCCTGTCGTCTTAACCTTTATACACACCGAGCCGCGATGATTAATTAACGAGACGGGCGGCGGTTCGATTTATTATAAGTAGCGCGCTTATTGATTAAGTTGACCCAAGCGCGGCACGAATATTTCGCCAGGGAGGGTGGACTCGTGTGCTTCGGATAATTATTAATTGCATCGAACGTGCGCACCCTCTCCCCCCCCCTCCAAGCGTGTATCTTCAACTCCGGCCAAAGCCGGCCAAAAACTGCTAATATAATAACGTGTAGCGGCTCGTTATCCGTTATCGAAACAACGCTCTTCGTCGAGTGCAGGCTAGAGCGAAAATTCAAGCTCTTGCTTGAATTTCATCGATTACCGTTTACTCTGATACCCCTTCTAATTACGATGAAGGAAAAAGGGCAACGAGGTCGCGAGGGCAGTTACGCTCTTCTAAGTCCCGCTGCACGATAATTACGTCCCGATATAGGGGATCGCGCCGCTATAGGAAAGCAAAACTTGGAGCGTCATTCCACTTTTCGTTTACGGTCATCCGCCGCGGCGCGGCAGGGAGCTTCGACAGTTTCAGCTGTATCGGGACGTTGGCTCGCGATCGCGCTCTAAGGAGCGTGTTCCACTTAAGTGGAGCACCCTGTGTACGACAGTTGGCTGTTGTGTCGGCACGAGAGCTATAAGTAGGTACTTTCGCGAGCAATCTCGCTACAGAGAGACACGGAACGACGACGGCGCGGCGCGGCGCGGCGCGACGCGGCGCGACGCGGCGCGGCGACGCTCGCTCGCTCGCTCGCGCGCGTGGCCCGCTAATTATAACGTTATTGCCGCTATTAATGAGCAATTTCAGGGCGCTTCTGTGCGCTCGGTCGTCGACGATATAAACTCGAAGCGCATTACGTAACTTACGTGGCGCAATTTAGCCGAGTTAATTAAGTTAAAGTGTGTGGCGAGTGTGCGGGGAAGGTGGGCGCGTCGCGAGGCTGCGACAGAATTTATTCTATCGTGTTTGATTTAACACGGCCTTGTTCTCCGACTTCTTCCGGCGAACGGACAATTTTGTCTTCGACGCCGAGCGGAGCGGAATTATAGCGGTGTTGCACGCGGAGAAATTTCTAAGCCGATCAATCCGCTGATTTGCCGTTTACACGTTGACGATGCCGCGTTTCGCTGCGCCGCGAGTTCGCCCGTTCGTAATTATAATCCAGTCGACGGGAACTTTCGCGCGAATTCGCATTTCGCGAGCGGAGGGAGACGCAGCCTCTCGTCTTTCTCTGTCCCTTCGACCTTCTTCCATGGACGGGAACTCGAAAATTATCTTCGTGCTTCCTCGATTTCCGCTTACCGTCGTGTATATCCGTGATTTTTATGAGAAAGAGAGACCGGTAAATTCTGCAGCGCTCGCATTTTGCCGCTAGATTTGACGATATTGGAATAACCGTGATTGATATTCTAGCCTGGAAAAGAACGAGAGGCCGAGAGAGAGAGAGAGAGAGAGAAACAGAGAGACACTCGCGCGCCTTGTTTTTCGCCGCATTGATACACTAGGAAAAACTAGCAATCGTAAACATTTCCGTCACGCGCGTTATACGCTGTCGTACTTGCGAAAGCCATTTCTCTATATATTTTTATTTAACGTATCTCCGTTGTTTATTTCATCGGAAAGTGCAGAATTCAGATAGCCAAACTTTCGTGCGGTATCCCCAGCTCGCGGAAATACGGGCGAGAGCCCGTGCGCGGGTGGGGGGATTAATATTAAAAAATTCGAGCGCTCTCTATGGAGAATCCAGGCACTGGAAATAATCGAAATCCTTATAACGAGGCTTCGAGACGCGATCGGACGTTTACATGGCCAACGTTGAAATATTCACTCGCACCCTCGTATATTCTCTCTCTCTCTCTCTCTCCTCGCCCCCTATTCCAACCCCTCCTCTCTCTCTCTCTCTCTCTCTCTCTCTCTCTCTTCGTTCTTCACAACCTCGCATAATTCACCTGTCGGTGCGCGCTAGCTTTTCTCTCCGCGGTTCCGCGCGAACGGCAGATCCCTGAATCGTCTTGCCGTAAATCCATTTTCCGCGCGCTCGTTTATTCGCCGAGGAAATTACAGGCTTTCAAGCACCGCGAGATGTGCGTGCACGCACGAATCGCCGGACCATGTTCGAATAGCCGCGACAAATTCGACCACCTCCGTCGCTAATTATTCGGAAAGCCGAACATCCTGACATATATACACACACACACACACACACACACACGCAGTATTATCTTGCGGCCATTTATCTGACTAACAATTAGCATGAATCAACTTCCGGAATTCTTTCATTCCACGTCTCCACGCGAGAACCGCGCGCGGTATCGGGCGTTCACGTGCCGTTTGACGTTCCATGGCGCAGAATTGAAGCGGATTACGCTGAGGCCGCGGCAGCACACAACGCTGACGCAGGAGGAGGAGGGAGGGGGAGGGGGGCTGAATGTTAAAACAGCAAATTTATCTAGCAGGCGGCGTACCGCCGCCACCGTCGTCGCCGCCGCCGCCGCCGGCGGCGCGAGCATATTTAACCATAATAACCACTAACGACTGAGAGTTTCCTGGCCGGAAGTGCCGGAAGTGCACGCTCGCGCCGCCACCGCCGCCGCCGCCGCCGCCGCCGCCTAGCAAACGACATAACCGCCTGGCTAAGCCGAAACGTTAAACGCCGATTATCGTGTTCCCAGCTCTCGCCTGTAATTTCCCGCGGAAACTTTCGCCCCCGGGAACAGAATTCAGGCATTGAGCACCAAATGGCGAGCATAACTCATTTCACCGAGAGAAAATAGCCCTCCTGCACCACTCGGCGGTGGGGAGTGCGCCGATTAACAGTCCACGATCCGATTGAACGGATTTCGGAAATCGATGGACACGAAATACCGAAACGTTGGGAGGGACGTTTCGTATTCTCGGCGAAGTCGAGCTGGATACCTCGAGACGCGCAATACCGCTTTCCGTCCGACCATTCGCGGGGAGGTGGAGGAAGCAGCTTGGTGCTGCACGGTTTTGGACCAGAAAAATAAGTCTGTTCTTGCTGAAGTAGTGCACTTCAAGAAGAAGCGAGAACTTCAAAAGAGACGGATTCTTCGCAGTGGAGACTCGGTGAGCGAAAGAGGAAAAGATGAGCAGCGTGAGCTGCAACGCAAGGGGAACTGCGGAAAAAGGACATAAAGAATTATCACTCAAGGTCTTTCGACGGGCGCGGAAACATCTAAAGTCCTGCTGCAGATTTTGCGGAAGTCTCTCGTGTCAACGTCGCGTCCAGGACTGATCGCGCGACGATCCCGTCGACGCGTCGATGCAAGGCGCTGTGCCGCGTCTTCCGTTTAATAAGATCGCGAGGGATCCGCAGCCCTCGTAATAAATTGCTTTCTCCCGGAAATTACTGAATATTGTTCGTGCCGCGGCGTTTTCCAGTCGCAATAAAGCCCCACGCACGCCGGCTTTAATAACCGCGCGCGATTTATTGGATTTTATCGCAGGGACGCACCGAGGCAAAGCTAGCGAGCATTTCTCGCCGGCGGCGGCGGCGACGTAGAGTCTGATATTTACACACATGCAAGGAAATATCATGCGCAGCGAAGAAAATAATTGCTCTCTTTTTCTGATTGTAGATATTACGCGTTTGTACGTGCATCGTCGTGCCGCAGCTGTTACGCCGCGCATATCGATTCCGAAATTTCCTTCCCGGCTGTGCTGATTCCGCAGCATCGTGCGAAATATACACACACATATATGTATATTTCTGTATATAAATGCTCGCTCGTGCATCTGCAAAATAAATTACACGTACGTTACACGGTTCGTAAAAAATGGAAACAAGATCTCGCGAGATTTGCGTCAATTTCCTCTGTAACGTACATCTCGGAAATTGCTAAATAAATTGCTCTGCTAAATTATTACTAATTGAGTTGCTCAATTTGAGATGAATCTGCGGTCTACTTTTACTCGCTAGAGAATGTCAAGTGCAAACGTGAAAAAAAGGAAAGCGAAATTTCGGAATCAATTAATAACTGCTACGCTGTTTGCACAGCGGCAAGTTAAAAATTATCGGAAAAAGCATGAAAACTATGAGCGCGATCCAACGAGAGATTTTTTTTTTTTTTGCGAGTTACCGGATAGTTTTGTATTTTCGAAACGTTTATAGCTCTATATCGTTGCAGAATGAGACGAAAAAACAATATTTTGATTCGTATGTCCCGCATGGTCTGGCGAAATTCACTGGGAATTCGCGTTTCTGTTTGTAAACGTAATTCAATTTCGCCGTGCGTCGCCTGGCGTCGCGTGTGCAATAAAAAGTTCTATACGCCACGGTGTGTAGACAGATTTTTGAATAGAAAGCCGGCAGAGTTTTTTTCAGAAACGGGAGAAAGAAGAAAAGCAAATATCTCTCGAAGTAAGCAAATCTCCGGCAGTCGACAACTTCGGCCCCGACAATTCGCCCGATTTAACGCCGTGCGGTGCGTGTCCGAATTCATTGAAATATATCGTCATCGCACAGCGATTCACGTAAATCACACGACGGAGCTCTTTTTATCTCGCTCGAGCCATGGCTCGAAAATTCAGGCTGCCCACCGCACGAAAAAAAAGAGAGTCGCACTTATCGCATGAAGGGCGACATCTAAATCGTCCGCGCGTTGATTAAAGCCGTAGTTATTCAACGTTTTATCTTTTTCTTCTTCTACTTTGCCCAGGACCCGCATCGCCGCTGCCGGATCTCGCGGGATACAGCCGTTGCGGCTACACCCTGGTATTAAAGGGGTTGGTTTTTCCCCAGTGGAAGCGACGACCTCTGGCCGTCATCGGTTCCAGGCTCTTCCTTTATCCGGGTAAGTGTTCCACTCGAGATCCTGCCAATCCCCGAGATAAGAAAATTCAGAACGAAAGGATGCGTAGGCCCGGCCAGGCAGAAAACAAGCCCTCGTTGGGGGGAAACAATCCCTCAGCGTCTGTCGGGAATGTTAGGGGTCGCCTGGCGATCTGATTCCTCCTCCTCTTCTCTCGTGCGCGGCTCGAGATCACACGAAAGGATTCTTGAAATTAGCGTTCGGAGAAGCGAGTTTCATGGACTTCACTTCATGTCGTCCATAATTGGCGGGCTTATTTCAAAGAGCTCTTTCTCACAGACAGCCAAAGGTATCAAATCGACGCGCCATTTGTCAATCAAAAAGACTAGCTGCCTCGTTGCTTCTCGATGGGGAGAGACTTGAGTTCCTTTCAGAAATGAGCTCTTCGATTAAATGCGAAAAACCGCGGATACATGTCGGCTATCAAAGAGATACGTTTTCTCTCGACGTTGAAGCAACGATATTTATCGACGATCTATTTGGAATGAGCGTATACATGTGGAAGTCGTATTCCGCGATGTCGTCAAGCTATCATCTTGAAACTCGCAGGTGAGACAAAAGTGAGGAGGGAAAGCATCGCGCGATCAGTCCCATAAATGTTTCCGTCTCCGTTGCTCTCCTTCCCGACACCCGAAACACCATGATTTATCTACGTCCGTCCCTTATCCTTCCGTTGGAACGATTCTGTCACCGAGCAGGATGCGTGCCGCGGATCAAGAATTTCTTCGGCCGAGAAAGGATTTATCGTCCTGACATGCAATTACGTCTCGCCGAACATTCAGATACCGCGCGTCCCTATCGCGCGGGAGAAAAATAGCGTTACCCGCGTAACGAGAACCTTATTTACAACGCAGGCGTTGCTGCGTCGAAGTAAATGAATCGGCGGGCGAGCGTAACGTTGATAAAGTCTCGAAACGAAACATTTCTTTCGCAAGAAACGTACATCTTCCAATCGCGCGGCGGCGGTGACGTCCTGCGAGTCAGCCCGCGAAGTCCCAAGTCCGAGTAAAAATTTCTCTCTTCAGAGTCCCCTTTCCTTTGCCTTACTCGGCATCCTCATTTGACGGCATCATCAATCCGACTTATACTCAATTCTTAATAATCTCGCAGTAATCTATAAAGATTGAAAAAAGAATTTCGTTGTTTGAAAATTTTTTTCAACCTCCTTGTAAAGTTTGTGAAGTTCCCAACGTCGATTTGCCTTGCACGGGGCGAAAGTTGGATTTCACGTTGGAAGAACTTCAGAGAGACGCGACGGTCGCGACGTATTATTTCGGAATTCTTACGCCTCGCTTGACGCGGCTGTAGATGAAGGTCCCATTGATTCCGACATCTCCGCCAAGTTTGACAAGGAAGTCAGACGCGCGGCTTTGCCGAACGTGACCGGACTCGAGCGATCCCTTTTCCCTCTGCGAAACGCTCAGACTCGCGTATGGCGTTTTTCATCCATAAATGATGCGCGATGTCAACGACAAGATGATCAGCCTCCCGCTCTCGACACCCCGACAATGACAACGCTTTGCGGCCCGACCGGACGAGTAATCCCGCGGAAATCTCGTGCTCGCGAAGTCGCGCGCTCCAAACTACACCGGAAGATCGATATATCACGCCGGCCCGTGCCCGTATTGACATTGCTGTCGAAAATGTGTAGAATTGTTTAACGGCGTTTGTCGACCGACAGCGTCGTGAACGACGGCTGCCGGACTATTTGACATTCGCACGGAGAATTCCCGTAGCGCGCGCCAGAATTGATTTCTTCCGCCGTAGCTTGATTTCCCGCGTCTCGAGTGCATTTGTTCAGAAAGATAGAGAACATCAATACGCGACAATGGAAACTGGCGGACCGCATCGGCGGTCTCCAAGCGACCGGGGCGCTTTCTGATAGCGAAAGACCCGCGACCGGATCTACTTTCCGCCGCGATGCACGGAGGCCGATTGACCTTCCTTCCTTCCCCTGTCCGCGGGATGATTTCGCGATTGGAGAGGCGCGACGTACACACACCCCTGAAACCCGGAGACACCCCATACTCCAGCGGGCAACGAGCGTTAAATGGCGCTCGGCTACGGTGACGGATATCGCCGGACGGTCGCTGGCGGTCGGCGGTCGATTTTAACGAGCGTGTCCCGTGAGGGCGTCCGCTAAACCTGACTGTCCCGCGCCATCACGTCAGTTAGAAGCCGCTCTCTCCTTCGGGAGCCGGAGGCTTGATTAAGCTCGAGATAGCCGCGGTAACAGGTGTTCGCCATCGGCTCGCCCGTGCTGAATCAACAGCGAACAACTTCGCCGGAGCGACCCTTCCACCGGCCGGACTTCTCGGCCGTTACTTCCCGTCAGCTTGCCGGCCATCGGCCGGAGATTCGTGTCCGGGAAACGTGACGGGATGAATGACGTCCGCGCCAAGTGTCCTCGGCCAAGCGATCACTTCTGCCTTCGCGTACTCTTGCCTCTGAAAGAGTCTCGCGCGTTTCTTCACCGCGCGTTTCACGTTTCCTCGCGTCGCGTTGACGGTATATTGCACCGATAGAAAAATATAGTTGAATTCATTATAGTCTCACTATATTTTACAGTTCACTTTGGCGTCAACCATATTTTTATAGTTGGTGGAACCTGCAAAATATAGTAGAATAAACACAAATATATAGTCAATGATTGTCTTAAGTAATTGTTTAGTTACTTCTACCACCATATATGGTAATTTCTCATTCGCACAAATACAGTGAGATTTAATATTCATATAGTTGCATCTGTCATCATTTAGCAAATATTCTGGCAAATGTTGACTGTATAAAAGAGTTACTTTACCTACCATTTTATATCTGTATCCATACAATAATTTTAGTTTAACTTACTATAACTCTTAGTAAAAATATTATATGGTTGCTTATACTATGCCTATATCGCAATTATTACCGATATTATGACAATACTTACTATAAATATGATATTTCGAACTATAATTTAGTTACTATATTATTATAGTTGCAAATACCATATACTTTTCTCTCAGTGTGGTATTTTGCTTAACAACCCGTTGAACTGCCGGACGATTCGAGGGGCCGGGCGAGCGGACGCGTTAGCCATGGTGTCTTCGTCGGGAGAATTCTGGGGCAGGTTTTTCCTATCAATCAATTTCCCGTCTCCTTCGTCCGTCAGGCATGACGGACTGCGGGGCGTCAAGAGTCGCCGGGGATTCCCTCAGTCGCGAAACTTCGTCAAACGTCAAACGTCAAAGAGAGATATATCGGGAGAAAAGGAGCGGGTTTACGCGCGTCGTTACGCAAGAGTAGATGCGTTCCTGAGGAACCTTCGAAGACAGTTCGAAGACAGAAGATTACACAATGTCCCTCTCGAATGTCATTAGCATTTTTGCCGTCCGCCGCGCCGTTTCATTTGCCCTAACGAGCGCCGGAATGCGCGGGGATCTGGTAAACAGCCCGTGCATTTAGGAAATCGCCGTTAGGAAATTGCTCGCTGCTCGATACGTATCTTGCGAATGGAACCACAATCTAGCATGGACATAGAACGGCGAGTATTCCGGGAAGCTCGTCAGCCTCACCGGCATCTGCTGATTTAAGCTGCGGCTACTGCCGGCTTCAATTAGGAATTGCCCGGAATCCTACGACACGGAAACGAATATTCATCGAGCTCGCTGTCTCTCTCCCGCTCATTCTTCCCGCTGACCATGCAGGTTGGCCGTTTATCGCCGCTGATATAACGTGCCGTTGAATGCCAACGAGCTCCATCACTTTTACTATACTTGGCTGATGAAACGCTTGACGTCTCGATTTGCTCGAAACATCTCGAGTGTGGCCGACAAATATCCTGGCGATGCCTGGAAGCCTCACGGGGAAAATGACAAAAGTGAAATCTCATCTCTTTTCGACGGAGGATATCGAGAATCGAGAGCTGTTCAACTCTGTCCCTGAGCACGTCCCGTTTATCTCAACCGCGCTTCTCGTTCTCGCGAGCGTCTAATTCCCTGATATGCAACTTCGCGTCGCGATGAGAAATCGGCCAGCGGAGAATTCCCTGCGAAGCACAGCCACACCGTTGGCCTCCATACTTTGTTAAACGCTTATTCCATCCACCCTACGCGGAGGTTAGCAAAACACGTTAGACTTGTTAAAATCCAGCTTAACGAGCTGCCGGCAAGAACTTTCCCGAGCGTTTAGTTTTGGGACCGGCCCGGAAATTAGTTGCACAGCGCGCGGCAGCCTCATCGGGGAAACGGCGCGCGCCGACCGCGAGCGCCATATCGCTTAACTACTGAAACAAAGTATCGCTATTCTCGACTATTTTCCGGCGCTTTGTGTCGCGATTCCCGGGAGCAATTCGCGCACGATCGTATTCGTTGCCAGTGCGTGTTTCCCGAAACGTGTCCGAGGCGACGCCGTATCGCGGTTTGGCCCCGTTTCTTAAATTTCCGCCGGATGTCAGGCCGAATGTCAGGCCGTTAGCAGCGGCCGGGACAAATTATGCTGATTAATAGCGGTCGCGACGACACCGCTGGAGACGAGACGACGCGGCGACGCGGCGAGACACGGAGCGGCCAGAGACACGCGTGTTTGCCCGAGCCGGGGACCTGGAAGAGCGCGGAGGGTGTGCAACCCCTAACGAGACTGGCGGCTAACGCGAGATAAGGCTCAGACCCTTACTTAACCCCGTTGTATCAGAGATACAAAGGATGAGAAATGACCTGTGTATCATAAGGGACTGGTTATGGAGTCAGCCGGGCATTACCACCGCGACCACGGTTACTTAACTGCCGCCGCCTAATAGTGCTCATGAAATAATCATGACGCGGTAATCGACGGTAATCCTTTTTGTCAAACACGCTTTTTCCTATCTCCTACCAGCTCCGCGTGCAGCTCCGACGGCACCAAGAGAGCGAAATTACCTGTGCGTGTCGTGATTAATTGGTCATAACACGAGCCGAATATCATCCGAACTGCGGCTGATGTTATCTAATTACTGTTACTAACAAGAGCCACAATAGTTGCGTCACGCTCGACGGTAATCCTTTTTATTAAACGCCGCTTAACCCCGCTGCGTCGAAGGTACAAGGGAGAGAAATGACCTGTATATATCATAATTAATTGCTTATAGCACTAGCCGGGCATCGCTACTGCCTGGGCTGTGATTAAATTACTGTTACTAACGGCAACCGCGGTCACGTCGTCGGCGGTAATTCTTTTTGTCAAATCCGATTTAACAATTATATCCCGCGGCAGCAGCAGTTGCTTTCATTGAGCGCAACGTCAGGCGCGTCGTTATCCAAGGACCTCGGAGGATCTCGGTGTCGATCGATGGATCGATCGAAGCGCCGCGTTAATGGACGAGTCTCAAGATTGTCGGAAGGAATTCCAGGTTGCATTCGACTCGCGCGAGCGTCGACTGTTCGTCGATGGACAGGCGGTGTCCTCTCGGTATTTCGCCGGCTGTGTCGCAGCGAATAAATTTCGCGTCGAATCCGCTCGGCATGTCCGGCTCTGTTTTGCCCGAAAGTCCCGCAAAAATTCGATAATACCTGCTGGCGGCGTTTCGCGTGCGTATCTGCGCGAGCGTTTCGCCCGGTGATGGATGCTCCGTGAAAGCCGACGCCGCGCCGTGGTATGCAGCCGGCCGTCATTGGAATATCAATGACCGTCCGGCATTCTTCGCGTAACTACAGCCGTAATTAGATCCCACGTGAGTGTCTCGAGATAGAGAGAGAGAGAGAGAGAAATGAAGTCGTCCTTTTGCCACATCGATTCGGAATCGGGTCGCGAGTTCACAACTCGAGAGAGAGAGAGAGAGAGAGAGAGAGAGAGAGAGAGCCGGAGGAACTTCTCGGGGCGTGTTGGTCGGAGAAATAATATCACGGTTATTGGAGCGAGCTTCTTTTCCAGCTGTGTACGTGTGGAACAATCGCGACTCCCGTCAGCCGGCCGGAGCTTTAATCGCCGCCACGTCAACGCGCCACAATTATTGATAAATCCCTGATAACCGAGAAATTCTGCAACAAGAATTGAGATCGCTTCGAATGCTTCAGTCACGCTCGAGCTCTCGGCTCCAGCGTGCGCGCATGCCAACAATACCGTGACCGCGAGATCGTATTGTCGATACCGAAAGGGCTGATAAATAAAGAGACAAACGCGTTTTCCGCAGCTTGCCCGGAATCGCGAGCGGAATGGATGGAACTGGGCGGCGGAGGTGGCGCAGTGTGCTATGCGCCGTCACGTCTGGGCAAACTCGTTTTGCGTGTCACTGGGTTTCCCAGGGTTACTCAACAGTGCCATATGAGCCAACACCCGGAGGAGAGTCACCATCGCGAAACCAGGCACCTGTATCTGGGTTTTCATCATCCCTGGGATCGAGATCTCTGGAAGAGCTGGATCAAAGAGGTGAGCGACCCTAATTCTATTCTTCCACGTGAAACCCAGAGAGTCTCTCTCTCTCTCTCTCTCTCTCTCTCTCGGCGCGACTTTTAATCTCTAACGAAGCAATAAGTTACTGGAAACGCGATCCTTGCTAACAAAAAAATGAAAAAAAATAAATAAATAACGTGGAGTCGAGCGGTATAATCGAGATCGTCGGACGAGCGCGGCGGTCGCGCAATTTTCCGCTCGTGAAATTAACGGTCGCCGCGGAAGCCTGGAAAAACAAAGTACGTTAATTAAAATTAATTTGTTGTAAATAATGCTTCGCGCGGCCTCCGTCGGCCGGCTAAGTCTCACGACTCGATTATTGGCGCATGATTTTAATTTTGATTCCAATGCGGATATCAATTTCATGGCATGCGGCAGCGGCGGCACCGTCTCGATATTCTAATGGCGCGGGAACAAATTTTACGGCCTTTTACAAATTTTGTGACCTGTACTCTTTCAACACCTCTCAAAAGTCCGAGAATACACGCACTGATAGAAAAATATAGTTGAATTAACTATTAATCTCACTATATTTTATAGGTCATTTTGGCGTGAACCATATTTTTATAGTTGGTGGAACCTGCAAATTTATAGCAGAATAAACCCAAATATATAGTCAATGATTGTCTTAAATAATTGTTTAGTTACTTTTACCACATATATGGTAATTTCTCATTCACAAATATAGTGAGATTTAATATTCATATAGTTACATCTGTCATCATTTAGCAAATATTCTGGTAATATTGACTATATAAAAGAGTTACTTTACCTACCATTTTATATTTGCATCCATACAATAATTTTAGTTTAACTTACTTTAATTCTTAGTAAAAATATTATATGCTTGGTTATGCTATGCCTATATCGCAATTATTACCGATATTATGGTAATACTTACTATAAATATGATATTTCGGACTATAATTTAGTTACTATATCATTATAATTCCAAATATCATATACTTTTCTCTCAGTGCGGCGCCGACATATCAGTATATTCTTCACGTCGCGTCTTAACACGATCTTATTGCACCAATTCGCCGCGTCGTCCGTCTCGGCAGCGGCGGGGGGGGACATTTAAGATCCGCGGCGAGATCAATCCCCGCGCCGCGCGCCATAAATAAATCGCGGTGGAAAGTCGCGCGCGGTGGCCCGCGTCGAAGTAAGAAAGGGAAAATCTATTTTCCAAGAGACACGCGCGAGCGAGCGCATCGGGCCTCTCCGCGAGACGTAGTCAGTGGTGTTTGCCCGACGACGATCGCACAGTCGCCTGAAAGTTTCAGGCCGCCGGTGGCTGAGACCGATTCTTGGGAGGTTCTCTTTGGGCATACGTAACTCCACGAGGAATGAACGATTCTCATGCAACGAGTCCGGGCCGGCTGAATTTTCCATCGCGTCTTGGAAATAAGCGCCACTCACGCTGGCGAGCGAACACAGCCGGTACATGACGTGATATTTAACATGCATAGGAGATGCATTTATGTATCAACGAATGCAAGAGAACAAGAGCAAGGAGGAGGGAGGGAGGGAGGGCGGGTCTCGAGGGGTATCGGACGTGAATAAATGCGGATCGCGGAGAAGACCGTGAAAAGATTCGCGGTCGGTCTCGAGCGTGCTCGAGCGGAAAGGGGCTTTTTCCCGCGCGTACGCGAATAAATCGCGCTCCGATGACACCCCGACGCGTGCCAACCGCATCCGGAGAGGCGTGGAAATAGACGGAACGTGTGAACACGAGAGGAGAGCTCGCGGGAGCGGCCGCGGAGAATGATGTCGGGGCGGGAAAGGTGCGGGCAGGCCTGATAATGTCGTTACACGGCGTCGCGGACGGCAGCGCGCGGTGAATTAGAATGGCGCGTATTGTCGCGCACACGGCCCGATGCAAATGAGGACAAACATAGGCGTTTTGATGAGCATTAATGGAATCACCGGCTAACACAAAAAGCGACGCGGCCGCCGTCCGTCGCGTCGGCGTGTCCGACGAGCTTCGTCCCGCGAACATGTGACGTCTCGAAACGCCTCTGTTCTCCCGCTCGAGCTCGAACACTTGCGATCGGAAAGCGATTAAACTCGGGAACGGAAATTTAGAGATTCCCGACGGCGACCGAGGCTTGCCACTTGCGCGTCGCGCCGTCGACAGTCGGCTAATTTTCAATATCGCGGCGGAACGCTCGATCCTTCAAAGAGGCCGACGGCGCGATTAATGCGCCAGCGGAATCAAAGGAAACTCTCTCTGTTCTTCATCTCGCTGTCTGACAATGTCGCGGCTCGAAAGATCAGCGATAACTGTGGAAGCGAGAGAGAGAGAGAGAGAGAGAGAGAGAGAAAGAGAGACAGAGAGAGAGGGAGAAGAGAGGAGAGGAAAGGCGAGAACGCCGAGTGGTTCGGGCTTGAAAGAAGGGTACATATAACGGAAGATAAGAAACGAAAATAACGCAAACATTGACCCAGAGGCACATCCTGAATATGAAAATGACGTCGAACAAACTTTAATATATCCAAATGCGACGAGGGGTTGCGTAAAGAGGTAGCCTGGCGGGAGGGAGACGAGAGGGGGCAAACGCATGCTGTTCGCGTGCCGTTATGATCGGCAGCATCCGACCGCGGCATTATCGGCGATTCAGATCGATCTCGCGGTATTTGCCGACGCGAGGCGAGATTCCGACGACGTGAGCCGGAGAGCATTTCTCGGGGCTGGCTCGAGCGTGCCCATGCGTCGTTATTCGCCGCTTAACTAATTCGCTTGAAACCGAAACGAATAAAAGGAAAAAAAAAAAAGGGCGAGAGAATAATTGAGCGGGTTCAAATCTGAGAGATCTCGCGGTCTTCTCGGCGAGAACGTTTGTCGGCGTCGCCGAAAGGAGAACAATTCGCGTCGAATAACTCCGCAAATATATTTCCCCGCTGTTCTCTCCCTCCGCTCTCTCTCTCTCTCTCTCTCTCTCTCTCTCTCTCTCTCTCTCGGCCGGACGACAGACGGAAATTTGCGAGGAGCTTAACATATTAATCGTAGCGCGATATACCGCGACGAGAGCGCGAGTTGCGGTGCGCGCCGGAGCGAACGCGACGCGACGCGAGATCATGATTTCGGATAAACACGTCGCTAAATATTCAGCGATCAGTTGTACAAATACGGGGAGACGGGGCCGCTCCTCCCTCCGGCCGTTTCGTCTTGAATTATTCAACGCGCGTAGTATTTTGCCGCTTTTCTCCGCGTTGCAAATGCATCACCGCCTGCACCGCCGACGCCGGCAACCGCTGTTATCGCATTTACCAGGATACACGGCGATCGCGTTTAATCCGCGCGTTCGATTTTCCGCGCTCCATTATCTATTATCGCACCGCAAATGACGAGCGAGGGGGACGGGGCGCAATCGTCGAAACTTACTTTTCTCTCTCTCTCTTTCTCTCTCTCTCTCTCTCTCTCTCTCTCTCTCTCTTTCTCTCTCTCGTCCTCGTTCCGCTGTCATCTGTCTTGTCGCGTTCGCGTTTCTGTCATTTTTCTGTTGAGCATCCGTGGTGAAAAATTCGCGTAAATTTGTCGGCGGAATTCTTCGTTGGATTTGTGACCACCGCGCTGATTTGACTTGTTTCGATAGAAACCTCCTGGTGGTTGCACCTTCGCGTGGGATATACGAGAATGAAGATTCCTCGCAGATTCGTCGTTTGATCGCAACAGTTCCATATCGCGGGCTGTCCTTTGTTCAACGTTCGCCGGTAACAATTCGCTCGCGCGGAACGCGCGTGATTTTTCAAGCACTCGCCACATAATGCAACAATTTCCTTGAGCGCGGTCTGCCGACGACACGATCGAGTGGGTCGTGACGTTTTCCAATGGAGCTTCATTATTTTCATAATAGAGGCGGAATGCTTTAAAAGCCTCGTGACAATCCATCGGACGCTCCCCCCGCTCGCCCCGAGCCCCCGCTCGCGCGTCTGTCGCCGAAAACTCTAACATTCGTCATTCGTTGAACGCGATAGCTACACGCGTAATAGCAACAATAGCGCGATAGCAACAATAGCAATGTTTCGATTAATTTTCTTTCTCGCAGAGCAGAAAAAAGCGGAAGCCTATGCGCGATACGCGCTTAATCGAGTTTTCGGCAATTTGAAAATCGACGACCTACCCTTCCCTTCCTCACCAACCCCCAGCCACTTCATCTCTCCCGCCCTCTCCCTCCCGCCTCCCTCTCTGTCTCGCTAATGGCGATGTGTCGGCATATTCGATTACGCCCGCTCGACGACGAAACGATCGACATTCCGCGGGCGCGCGGCTAAATTTATCTCGCTGTCTCGCATTGGGCGGGAACAAGAAGGAAGATGGCAAACAAACAGGTGCGGTCTGTTATAACGGGGCCGTGATACTTTTCAGCCTGATTATCCCCGTGCGCACTGAGTTGTTGTACGGTGCGTGCCGAACGGGACGCATCGACCACGGCGTAATGTTGCGCCGCGCGCGTGGCCGCGCGCCAATTTTGCGTATCATCGCGTCATTAATTAGTCATCGTGTGCGTCGTGTACGCTGTATCCGTGGCTAGAATTGGACATCATCATACACTGATAGAACGAAAAAGCAGCCCGTCTACCGGGCTCACGTGCACGCGCACACACGCACACACACGCACACACACACACACGCACACGCACACGCACGCGCACACAGTGTGCACCCCCGAATCCGCGTGATTGCACCGCCGAGCGCAGCGATCCCAGCTTGATTTCGCGCTCGACAAAAATTCTACGCCTCGCGTCTCTACTTTCGGACTCGTCGTGTGTCACTTTTTCACCCCGCACACGATGAGCGCGCGAATAACTCTCATCAAGATCCTACAATTCCGCGCGCCGGGTCACTGCTGCGTAATCCTAGCGTTATTTTTAACTACGCCTGTTACTTCACTTCGACGCGTTCGCTGACGTGTTTGCATAAAAAAAAAAAAACAGAGAGAGAGAGAGAGAGGAAAAAAGAAACGGAAATA